ATATAATATTTATCATATTAGCAACCATGACAGAAAACTGTGAAAAGGTAAACAAATAAAATATTCTATTTGCTCGTTGTGGAAGAAAAAGAGCCAAAAGTAGCCATTTTATGGCTGAAGCAGCTGTGTGCTTAGCAGCCCTTTCTTTACTCTGCTCTCTGGGACTCGCTGTGTGTGTTCGTGTGTGAGTGTGCTGAGTGTCTCTGTGTGCGATTGTGTGTGTGCTTCTCTGTGTATGTGTGTGCGTGTGTACTTGTGTGTTATCTCGCAGCCTGGTTCTGGTTCAGTTTTCGTTTTCCGTTAGTGCAGCATTTATCCTCGACGACGTTGGTTGGCCTCGCCTTCGCCCTCAGCCATTGTCACTGTCGCTGTCGCAGTCGCCGTCGAATTCGAAGTCGCAGTCGTTTGTCGCCTTGTCGCTAGTGTTGTTATTTATTTGTGTGTGCATTTTTTTTTTGTTTTTTGCTGCTTCTGCTGCTCTGCTCTGCTCTCGTTGTGTGTGCACGTTTTATTTATTGTTGTCGTGTGTTGTTTGTTTGTGTTTTTGTTATGGTGCCAGTGCCAACTTACCTGATATAAAAAAACAACACACACACACACACACACACAGAAAAAAAAAACAAACTCAAACAAGGTGCGCAGACCTGGAGTCAGGGCCACGGCACATGTTGTTAGTTAAACCAGCGCCCCAGAACGCTTGCCTCACATCCCCCAGCCCCTTCAAGAAGCCCGGGACACTAACCAATAAGTAAACCCCAAAAGGCAGCAGCAACAACAGGAGCAACAACAACAACATTAACAACAACAGCTACAACAAGACGCAAAGTAAATTCAAAACGAAACTAAACGACACAGACGAAAGTCCACAGTTCACCGCAATAGTTACAGTTACTCTCACGCCGCGTGGTTTCAATCGCAGCATGCTTTCAGCTGAGGCACAGTTATTGCTGTTGTTCGTGTTGTTGTTGGCGCAGCCAAAGCTCTGAGCAATCGCCAAATCACAAACACAAAACGGCAAACAGTAACAACAACAATAACAGGAAGCAGGAGAAGAAGAACAAAACAAATAGAAATACACAAAACGCGCTGCGTCCGTTGCTTCACTAAATGCAGTCGACGTCAATGTTGACGTCGCTGTCGTCACAGTCGTCGCGTATTATGGGCCTAACCAAACAGCAACAACAACAACAGCAGCAGCAGCAACAACAACGCCAACTTCAACAGCACTTGATACAAAAATAAACAAACAAAATCAATCAATTAATCAATCTGTGAACGCCCCAGGCGTACGCCCTCGCTCTTGTATACCCACGCCCACGCCCACGTCGACGCCCACGCCCACGCTCGCTTTAAACTGCAACTGCAACAGCAACAACAACAAAAACAACAACATCAATAACAAGAGGAAGGACAAATATAGCAACAGCAACAACAATGTTCCAGTCAATTGCATTAGTGCTCGTCCTGGTTGCCGCCCAGTCTGTGGCCCAGGCTCCGAAGAATGCGAATAGAAACGCTGCCGCTGCCTCTGGCTCTGGCGCGCCTGCTGTCCAGCTGCAGGCAACGGAGACACAAGCGGCGACAGCAGCAGCAGCAGCGGCGGCGGCAGCAGCAGCGACGCCATTCAGCAGCAAACAGCTCACCAGATGCCGCCAAAGCTGCTATCAGCAGGTAAGCCCGGCTCAGGCCACTAAAGATAAGACGCACTTGATGGACACTTGTATGTAGGACTCGCCTGCTCGCCTGCTCGCCCGCTCACTCCCTTGCTCTCTCTCTCTCTCTCTCTCTCTCACCCTCTCGCTCCCTCTTACGGTCTTACGGTCGACTGCGACGAAAGACGCTCGAGTGCGACTTCAAGGTTAGAGGCTCTCTCAGTGACTCTAGCTGCAGCCCCTTCCCCTCCACCTGGTCCAGTTGGGCAATGACAATGGGTCCGACAAGGGCAACGCCGGCACTGGGAAAACAGTTCGATACTCTGTTCAGAAACTGAAGTGGGGTATATGTGATGGTGATGGATTGATGGTACGGGAGTTACGGCATTGAAGTAGGCGCAGGCAAATACTCATGTTCATGTCACGTCATGTTTGTCTAAACTTGTTTAATTATGTCAGCCACGCCCTCCCCCATCAGTGGGTAGGCAGCACACAGGTTAACACGGGTGAAAAGTTTGAGTAAACAACAGATATGCTGGTGGTTGGACAATCACCCATGGGTTTGAGAGCCATTGCAGTAGACTGGGGCTGTAGAGTTTTTGCGAGATTTTGTATTAGCAAAAAGGACGATTGCGTGACACGATCTGCTCACGAGTTTGACATGTTAAGTATTACAGTTTTGGAGTCTTCAGTAGATCTTAAAGATAGCAGCGTCTAGTCTTAGAGTCATTATAATGCCTCGTCAATAGCTTGCCCTTCAGTCATCATAGATGCTAATGCAAAATGCGGGCATTAGTATCAATGATGACATCGTGACACGCCCTACACTTTGCAAGCTATTATCCGCCTTCAGTATAAGTTAAGCACTGGGCCTACTACAGTCGACGATTCACTGTTAGATCTTTGTATTAGTATACAGCAAATTGCAGCAGGACACGCCCCATAAATTAATGTTCTTTTTCTTAAGCTAACAGTTTTCAAGTCAATGACTAGGCATTACGGTCTTGAAAGCAATAGGAGAACAGTTTTAGGGTTATCGTAGGCCCTTCATTAGTATAGAGATGACAGTGTGACACGCTTTTCTCACGCCTTGCAAATAATTTATTTTCTTCTGTAAAGTTGACGCTTACTGATAGGTGATTAGATTCGATTTAGTTTACATTAGAACAATCATCGTAACAATTATCGCATACAAAAACAGACAACGTGTCACGATTTACTCACGACATACATATGTATTCGATCTTTACAGTTTGAAAGTGACTGCCTAGGCATTATAGTTTCTACTGAAGAGAGAGAGAGAGAGAGAGAGAGTGGCGATTCTTCAGTCATCGTAGGCTCCTTAATGAGTATCAAGAGATGACAGCGTGACACGCTCCGTTCACGAAGTTCCCAGTCTCAGCCTCGCCTGGGCGGGCTTCCTCTCAGCTCGAGCAAAACAGGGTATGACGCAGTCGTTTCTACGCGGCTGCAATGCTCTCACTGGTTTCTTATTTTCATTTTTTTTTTTTTTTATGTGGCTGCCCGCCTTTATCTGCTCGCTGACATCGCTGTCGCTGTCGCTGTCGGTGCTGCTGCTGGTGCTCCTCAGGTAGCTGCCTCTGTCAGTTGACAATGTCAGCTGGGTGGTCCACGCCAGTCATAGCGCTACTAATAGAGATTAGGCAACTGAGAACTGAGAACTGAAAACTGAAAGCTGGGAGGGCGATCAAGAAAGGAGCCACAATGCCGCAAGGGCAATTGGGTGTGTTTTGTCAAGCGTCGGGCAAGGGCAAGGGCGAGGGAGCGCGCTCCGCTCGAGGGTTGGGCACAAAAACCTATTTCATTCAATGACTGTGAAAACTAGTATTCAAATGTACTTAACATTGAGTAAGAGAGAGATAGAGAGCGAGAGAAAGAAAAGCGGTAAGACAAAAAACAATAACATAAACGAGTCCAAAATTATAAAGTGAAAACAGGAAATGGTCTGAGCAGAGAGACACACAGTAGCTAGATCTCTTCGTATGTCTCGCAGATAAAGCAGGGTTCACTGAAGGTAATTTCAGGATCACAATTGTCGTATATCATTTGGAAACAGAAGAATACTAATAATACTTCTATGGCAGCCATATGCAATGGGAAGTTATCTGATTTAGGGAGCTTACAAAAGAAGTGCCAGACTGAGGGCAGTCCCCTCTAGGAGTTAAACTGAACCCTGCGCTGATATTTCAAAGTCCAAGAAAATATGATAAACCCGTAGTGGTATACAGAAATATGTACATATATAAGTAAAAATTCCAAGTTTTTAACTTTTATGGGCAACGAGATTGCTGTGTTCAGACGAACGAATGCACAGATATTCAAAGGGAAGTACAAACGACTACGCCTATATCGACTCAGTTCGTCGCCCTGACCAAGATTATGTATATACTAAATAGAATCTGCCACGCCTCCTGCTGCCTCTAAAAACCAACGGAAATGCACTCTCTTCCTATATGATTTAATTTCCAGCTTAACTATCTAATTATATGTACGCAGAGCCCACTTCAGATAATCCTTATTCAAGTGCAGAGCGTAGACTGAAATTCCAGATAAGTTGCAAAAACAAGTTTGTCACACAGAAACTCTATTTAATAATGCTTTAACTGTTAATTTCGAGAACTGTCGAAAGCTCTGCTCTGACTGTGATATGAGCAGACAAATGTTGACACATTACGTGATTGAAACAAATATGAGTGCATTCGCTCCGTGCGGCAGTGCTCGACTGGCCAAATATCCTGGCGTGTGTGGAGAAAGTCCTTTACTTGAAGTAATCAGAATTCCATCAGAGCTAAGTCGACTTGTCTAGAATTTGGATGAATTTGAATTTCAATTGTACTTCTATAAATGAAATTGTCTGATAGAACTTGCGACAAATTTCTTAAAATCTATATATCATTCCATTTGAGTATGACAAATGACTATTTTAGGTAAAAATTATAGTTAGGTTACTATTATTATTGAATGGTAATTTTTCTTTAAATGAACCAAATTTACAATAGTGAAAATTCCGAGTCGCTTGTTTAGAATTTTAGAATCTAGCTTAAACTGAATCGATTATTGTGAATGATATCAATTGCGCTAGTTCTAATAATGCTGAAACTTGATGAAGGCAAAGAGAAGGCAGACATTAAAAGAGTTAAAGCTTCTAAGTACCTCAACTAAAATCGTTAATCTATAGATCTTATGCCAAATGAAATCCTACGTATCGAAATTCCTATCAAAAGCGATTTTTATCGATAGCTTATTAAAAGAATATGAGTACATATATTGTATGAATACCCACTGTAATTGATATAGCTTACATTATTATAGCTTCCATCTGTTACACACCCAAACCCAATATACCCCATTGGAGCCAGCGCCAATGAGTGCTCAGGGCCTTTGTGTGTGCATCTAATGGAAGAGGCAAATTTCTGCTGATTGCCATTGCGTTAATTAATGCAATTTATTATTATGAAATGTGAAATAATGTAACTTTGAATGCATTATTGTCGGCATGTGTGTGCGTGGGTGTATGTATGTGCGTGTGTGTGTGAGTGTGCGATGTTGAATGGAAGTCAATGCATTATTTGTTTGTCGCATCATTTATTAAATTATTAAGCATTATTATGTAGGTTAACCAATTCAATCGGTTTGGCTTTCTCTATTTGCATTTTGTTGCTGAACGTCCATTTAGCATTCAGCAAAAAAATTTATATTTATATTAAATATTTTTTGCTGCTGATTAATTCTGCATCATTTCCTTAATAAGAAGTCGCTTTGATGGGCTTAACTTTAACATTTGAATTGAATTTTTACCTGTATCCAAAGTTTCTTTAAATCTATTGAAGATGGAGAGAGAGAGAGAGAGAGAGAGAGAGAGAGAGAGAGAGAGAGAGAGAGAGAGAGAGAGAGAGAGGGAGGCTAGAAAGAAGCGTGCATACCCCATAAAGAATTCTTGATCAGGACGACAAACTGAGTTGATATGGTTATATTCTTTCATCTGTATATGTATGATATATATGAGCATCTTAATCTCAGAACCTACAAGAATTGAAGACTTACAATTGTTCCTTCAGAGTTTATTTCAAATAATCGATAGCTCTTTCTGTTATTGATTTAAATATTATCGAACTTCAATAAATAAATTTGGTATGTTTTAATTTATAAAATTTTGTTGTTGTGCTTTACATTTTTCACTTAAGATTACGGAAGATCTTAGTTAAGTGATATCTCGCGCTCTCTCCCTCTCCCTTTCTCCCTCTCGCTTGCATTTTGAGTTGGGTCTTTCATTACTCACTTAATTTGAAAACTGTGTCTAATCGATCGATTTACCTTTGATGTGGTAAATGCATTCGAATTAGTTCCAAGTCATCCCAGATTGAGCATAGTAAAAAACCGTGAATCTTTTCGTTGTCAAACTGGAACCGAAGGGATTCGATATTCGCTTTTCGGGCATCGATTGGGCTAATCTCACGTTCCAGTTTTTGGGGGTTCACATTGATGCAATTGCGTTGACCTTTAAGGGTTGCAAAGCACTGCACGGCCGTGTGCATTGCGGGCTAATTTCACGCCTGTCCGGCTCTAATCCCCGGCCCAGTACGAACGTCGCTCAATCAGCGCCAAATTAACACCATAAAACTTGGCAGCCACCAAAAGACTTTGTGCCATTGCAATTTGCCTGACTACTTTTTGGGGGTGCTGTGTGAGAGCGAGAGAGAGAGAGAGAGAGAGAGAGTAAGAGAAAGAGAGAGAGTGTGTGTGTGTGTATTAAGAAATTCAGTCAGTCTCATTGTCTGTTGTCTCCGAGTCAGCGTGAGCTTGTGACCCAGACTCCAGGCTCGGATGCGATTCGTAATGCCAGCTGCGTATGCCGAGCACGTAGCCTTTGGCTGGTGGTGGAATCTGTTCCGACGGGGCTTCAATAATTGACAAGCGCAGCATTTGGCGACTACGTGCCACAACCAAAAAAAAAAAAAAAAAACTAAAAAAAAAGTGGTCAACGGGCATTTGCAATAGGCATTGGCAGCGACAGAAGCGACAGCACCAGCTACAGCTCATAAAACTGCCTCAAAACTGACCTGGATGGGTAATTTATGTGGCCTGGGTGTGAAGCGATGTCCAATTCCGTGGGCAATTGCATGTAAAAGTTGTTCGTTGCCTGCGTTTAATTTATATCGCCCAATAACAACAACAACTATGCCAGGTAGCCCACAAGACGCTCGAACGGGCAAGGCCGGTGAACGGCTAAGGGCGAAGAGCGAAGGGCGCAGGGGGAACGCAACGGTATATGGCCTACGGTACGGAACGGACGCTCTATGTGTGTCTTGAGTTTGCCTGCTCAGCGTTTTCATTGAGAAGTGTGTGGTGCCTTTGCTTCATTCATGGCCCGACTAGAGAAGAGAGCGTGACACGCTAGACTCACGAGTGCCGAAGAACAACTTTCGATATATGTATAAATATAGAAATGATGGTTCGTAACTCTATAGAACTGTTTTTTATTTTTGACTTTACATGGTTGAAAGAGTGAAAAGCGTAACGGAATAATTTAAATTTTTATAAAAAAAAAAAAAATAATAATAATAAAAAAATAAACCACATATAATTATTCATAGCACTATATAAATGCATACCAAAATTAATTATAATTAGAATTATATTGCTAACTGTCTATGATAGAACGAGATGCGCATAGAATAATATGAAATACAAATGAGAAAAGAAAATAAAAAGATAGGAATATAAAGAGAAGATGAAAAAAGAAGAAGATATGAAAAGTAAAAGGCGAGAAACGATGGAATTATAAGAGAATAAAGATATACAAAAAGAAGAGAGAAGAGAGGATAAGAAGATAAAAAACGAGATGAAAAATGACAAAGATCATAAATGATGATGATGATAAGGAAAAATATAATAAAACAAGAAATAAGGTGAGGTGAAAAGAAAGTTAGAAAGAAAAAGTAAAAGATCGGAAAGGAAAATATGAAGATAGGAAGGAGAATGGAAAAAGATGACTACAAACGATATAAGATAAAGAATAATAGTCAAATATGAAGATAACGGCAAGACAATGAATAATATGACATGAAGAAGAAGATAAAATTATGAAAAGATGCATAGAACAGAAATAGAAAGAGTTTTGGATAGTACAAAAATCAGTATTTGAATTAAGCATCAGTTTGAGAAGATAATTGTTTTATATTGTGTGGCAATTAGAGCCAATAGAAGAGCTAAATATGTCCAATCAATCTTACTCAATGTGTTTCTAGATAGATACATACATATGTATGTATGTATGTGTATGTGGATATAGATTTGTGAATATATAAAAATTGTCAATTACAATTAGGCTAACGATGTTGATGGGCAATCAAATCACGTTGCCATCTCTAATTGATATTGCCAAAGCCATTCATTCAGTCAGTCGCTCATTCATTTGCCGCCTTATTGTTGTTACTTATCGCCCAAGTTGTTTCGCAAAGGCCAAAAATTCAATTGAGCGGAAAATATGTTGTCTTTGCGATTTTCCTTTTGGCATGCTCGTTTATCTGGCCGCCTTATTGTGTAATGATGACAAAGTGGTGCTGCTGCCGCTGCTGCCGCTGCTGCTGCTGCTGCTGCTGTTGATGGCAATGATGCCGAAGTCGATCCGGAATGCTGCTGGTTGCCAGTTCCTTTGTGCTAGCCTGATGTCCGCCATCTCGTTCCAGTCAGAGTCACAGTCACAGTTAAAGTCGATGTTCCTCTGTCTCTCTCTCTGTCTCTGTCTCTGTCTTTGTCTTCGTCTCATTCTCATTCTCAGTTCGCATCAGCACATTCATTCATTTGTCTGCGTGCTCATTCATAAACTAAACGGACAGGCACCGAGATCCGGGCTGTGGGCCTTTTTGCACTCATTGCTTTAGTGCCCAGGACGTTGTCCAGCTGTCGCTGCTGCGTAGCTAAAGCGACAGTTGACAAAGGCTAAGCAGGCAGAGCCAGCTATTCACTGCTTAACACACAGCAGTCGCCGTTGCCGTTGCCGTCGCAGTCGCCGTCGCAGTCGGCGTCGCAGTTGCCGTCACATTTGCCATGTCCAGTTAGTTCACAGTTTCATCTCCTGCCGACAGCGTAAAAATTTCAATTCGCCATACAACTTTGCGGTCATTTATACAAACAGACACACGCGCACGAATGCACACACACATACATACATACACTCTATCATTTCTTTTTTCATATTACACACACACACAGTGGGAGTTCTATCTCTGTGTTCTTTTCTTTTTTTGCGTTTAGCCAAGCCAGGCCTTTCATATTACAGTTACAAATTTGCGTCTATTGTTGGTAATGGCGATGCTGTGGCGTTGTCCTCGACCAGAGCCAGAGCCAGAGCCAGAGCCGTAGCCAGAGTCGGAGCCAGTTCCAGTTGCCAGTTGCCTGCGGCGCTGTGCCTGATTACTTTTTCTAGCTTACTTAAAATTCGATTAGGCCACGCCCACTAACTAACTTTTTTGTTTGTGTTGTTCTGGTTTTTGCCATACGTCTGTTCGGCTCCCTCTCATTTTCTCTTTCACTCTCTCACTCTCCTCACTCTGCCTCACTCTCTAAACATGCTTCTTCTTTTATTTTGCAGTTTGCGAGGGATTGGAATTATTGCACGGATTTCGTTGATTGCAGAAGCGTAAGTACATGCCCCGCCTCCAGCTCAAACAGCAGCAGCATCAGTAAAAGCTCTCTACACGCGCTCACGCCCCCACCGCTCCATAGTCCCACCGTCTCACTCCATTTAATGATAAGTACAAAGACAGCGGTTAGATGCGATAACAACAGCCTGAATAGCCTTAAGCCATGGCTTCCTAAACCATCCAGCAACAGTTCATAATTATTATGATCCCTTAACCCATTAATGTGCCCGATGAGTAAATGCTTTTGCCGCTCCAACTAAATACTTCGCTAACAACTATGAAATATTAATGCAATGCTAATATACTTTGCTTCAAATTAAGTGCTATCTGGAGGCCAATTTCTAGAGAGTTTTATGTATCTATAAATTTATTCTATGAAAGTTATTAAGCCGGAACTTAATTTGTTAAAATATCGCACTTGTTTTTAAAGCACACATTGTTTCCTTTGTTTTGCTACGGCAGTCTAGCGATAATTAAGATATGCAATCCGCTGTATTCACATTTTTGAAAGCCCTCAAATCACTTGAAATTGAAAAGTTTCACATAACCAATTTTGATTGCATGGCGCAAACATTTTCTCCAAATATGTAACGTTTTCAATTTGAAGAGCATTCCATTTCAGTTGTTAGCCAAGGCTAAAACGGACATTTACAAAGCTAAAAAAACTAAACAACAAAAATAGAATAGAATGAAAATGCCAGAGCTGCAATGCCAATAAAAAAAGCAAGAGGAAAAACAAAAACCAACGTAAAATCGAAAAAGCAATTTAAAACTAAACAGAAAAAAGCTTTTGTAAAATGAATGCAACAAAAAAAAGGAATTCTTCAATACTAGCGCAACTAATGCCTGTAAAACTTATCGATAGTTTTGCAAACTCAATTAACTCGCTAATCAATGCAAAAAAAAAGTACATCGAAATTTTTCAATACTGGCGCAGCAATGGTCAGTCCTGTAAACATATCGATAGCTATGTTTTTAAGCTACCTCGATAGAGGAGCTTATCGATAGCAGCACATTCACAGAGATCCTCATTTCGAATGCAAACAAACATTCAAAATGAAATTCGCCAGAAATCTGGCGCACAGATTGCACGGGAAACGGTTATTTGTGTGCGTATTTAAGTACGTGGGCGCATTAATGGGTTAAATCTCGTTGCTTTCGATTGCTGCGGGCGGCTGGCAAAATTGCGTTGGCAATTTGCGACTTTTTCATCCGCCCCACCACATCCTGCAGCGATATATACATGCATCAGTATGTATATATGAATGTATGTGTATCTATACATATATCTGCTACTACCGTTATGCTTTTGCTTTTGCTATTGCTGTTTGCGCTTAGCTTTGGCTTTGGCTCTGCCATTTTCCTAATGTCGAAACCATCCACAGTGTTGGCAAAACTGCCACAGGCAATTGGCGCCCTTTGAGCTGCGCGTCCACCATGCCCAACGACAGGGTGCCCTGGTGCTGACCGACATCGGATGGGACGAGATGATTGCGAACGCATCGCGTCAATGCCTGATCACCTGGGAGGTATCTGGCGGCGGTCTCATGGGCAACCTGCTCACAGACACAGCACGCGCCGAGCTGTCACTCTGGCCGGATACAGTGTACAACATACAGGTGACCTGCAAGCATAAGGTAAGCCAGTTCAAGTCCACAGCCTTTGACCACAGTGTGTGACAGGATAGAAATTGTCAAACCATTTTGTTTGTAGCTAACGGGTCTGATGCGGCGTTCACTGAAGCTCAATGTGGACACACATCGGCTGCTGTCAGCGGCAGCGGCAGCGGCAGCCAATCGTTGGACAAATCCCAGCCTGTTGCCCCTAAATGTGGATATGCTGCCAGCGGCAACAACAACAACAACGGCAGCAAATGCAATAGCCACAGCAACGGCAGCAACATCAGCAGCAGCCTCACCCCCACCACCACCACCACCATCACCACCAACAGCAACAGCAACTACAAAAACAGCAGCAACAGCAACAACAATTTTGCAGCGCACTCGACCCACAGACCGTGTGTACATCATCAGTGCATTGCCAACGGCCAGCCAGCTGAGCGGCGTTGTGTATCCGGCCTTTGGTGCGTTGGCTTTCTTCCTGGCATTGCTCGTTATGTTCCTGTTTCTGCGTCCGCAACGCAAGCGGACCTCTGATGGGGATGCGGACACCGCATCTCTCCTAAGCGGACGTCGCTCGCGGCTCTCCATGGACAACTCAACGCTGCATGTGTAGGCGCTTAAAAGGCGAACCGAGTTAAATGACAAAATAACAGCAATATCAGCAGCAGCAGCAACAACAACAACAACAACAAAAAGAGAGAGAACTTGTAGTCGTTTATGTCTGACTATGTGATATTCTGCACCCAAATTGTACATAACATAGATACACACAAATACACACACACACATACACACAATACAGACACATTCACACACACACGCATACACACACCTACTATATATGTAGCCTACATATACTATACTATGCATACTATACATAAACGTGCGTATTAAAACATATATAGTTATCAAATCAAATATCTCACATGAAGTCCAAAAAAC